TGATAACCGTGATAACAGTGAAATCGGTGAAAATGGTGATCACGATTTTCCTGGTGATCATTGGTGACGTTAGTTGGCACAGTCATTTAGTTGCGCAAATGGATTATCACTAACAGCGTCTTTAGAAGCCATTTTATTAGAAGAGGTCAAATCTAAGCCATCAATACCATCAAAGTGACCCATTGGTAAGGATGAAATAACATTAAAGAAAAGGGACTCTGTCCACTATCTTCTTGCCAATACTGAATAGAAAGGTGGAATAGAAGCAATACGTAGAAGTACTGATCCTATAATTACTAAGTCTTCATAAAGTCTGAAAAATTGTAGTATCTAAAAATGAACCTGTGCTTTATTATCTTGATGATAGAGAATATACTCTAAAGCGAGGATTTGTAAGAGAGGAGTTGATGTTAATATCTGATCTAAAAAAGATTGAATATCTACCTCAAAACATATTATCTGTGCATTTTGTTCATGCTTTTCCTAATAATAATAAGATAGATCAAGCTATTGATTATGCCAGAAGATGTGGTAGTCAATGTCTAGGAAGGACCAGGCAAATAAATAGTCATAGTGTATATCTTTGGTCTTGTGAAAATGATGCATACCAGTGGGAATATCCATTAAAATATATTATGAAAAAATTCAAATAGTGTCCGCTATGTTATCACGTAAGAGGTAAGTACAAGTGTTGATATATTTTTGAGGATCTGTTAGGCAAAAAATTCCCATCACGCAGGTCAGATTTTTTGGATGAAATGCAACTCAATGAATATAATGAGAAATTGTGTCTTGCATTCAAATTTCAGGGTTCCCAACACTATCATCATAATAATCAATATCATCAGGAGAATAAAACTTTAGAAATACAAAAGATACATGATCAAAAGAAGTGGGATATATGCAAGGAATAAGGCATATGCCTTATCGAAATTCCATATATCGCTTATCTTTTTCCCTATATCAAATATATATTAATTAAGAAAGGATTCTTAAATGAAGCGAAGTGATCCCAAAAGGACTAGCTAAAGCTCATGTAATTTTGAGCGAACTAAGTTCGCTGAAATTTCACTAAGAAATTTTTTTCGCTTGATATAATATTAATAATACTTAGTTTCGATAATATGAAAGTCAAAAAGCTTAATCTAGCAGAAAAAATCATTCTTCATGTTGATGAGATTAAAGATGCAAAAAGGTTTAATAGATTAAATTCAACTCCTTAATGACCCTTTACATTACTAATTAGTGGTCATACCAATTCAGAAAAAACTAATAAAGTCGTAAACCTATTATTAGGAAATAAGCTTTATCATATATTTAATGGTAAAAAAGGAGGAACATGCTATATAAAAAATGACGATTTGGTTCTTATCAGTCATTATCTCAAAAAGCTAAAATATTTATATCTCAAATTAAAGTATCAGATAATTGCAAATAGCCTAAAACCATATTGTGAAGATATTACATTTCAGGCTCTGAAGTCTGATAAAATTCCAAATCCTGATTCCTTTTTTCCAAAGAGAGGTACAGTGGTCATATTCAAAGATGTGTATGCCAATTCGATGAAAGTTCGGAAGAAAATTAAACCTTATTTTTCTAGAGAATGACACAGTAATATTAGTAATATTTATGTCTTTCAGAGTTTTTTTGACTACCCAAAACTGATAAGAAAAAACTTAAATTATGTTGTACTTTCAATGAGTCTACTTCAGATGAATTAGCTCATATTCTTTGCCTATATGCTAATAACTGGCATAGTATATATTCGGATGTTGAAAACTATTTATGAATATAGAACTTCATTATCTTAGATTTGACAGTACTCCCAAACTATCCTCACTGAATATGAAAAGGATGGGATACGTCATTTCTTAGTGAATAGAATTTTCCTCAAAGCTATTAAGTAAGACGAAATGTATATTTTTTTCAGGTTTCTAGGTCATATTCAGATTCACTACGTCTTTTCACCCATAATTTTCTTTCATAAGTGCTAGAATATATTTCTGATTCTATAGTCACATCATTATGCTTCATTTTGGAAAGGATCTGATTAACAAGAGTGATAATTTTTCTATCTTTAACAGAAATAATATCTTCCAGATTCTGGCATCTATTCTTTAACAGATCAATAGACTTTTCAACTGATGCAATAGCTTTTTTCGTATCAGGAATTATACTTTTGAAGAAAGCTACTGAATCTGATAATTAGGTGACTTTCCGCCACTCTTCTCCAAAGACCTGGTCATAGCTACCTCACAAAACTTATACTACTCTTGCAAATCGAAAAGCTCTTCAATCTTTTTTTCAATGCCTGTTTTAATATACATAACTTCTCATTTTCTTATCTTAACGAAGTTTTACAGTCACTAGTAATAGGCTCAATCTTCTTTATCTTTTAATGCTCCTTTTTCTTAATATAATTTCTAACTGCTTTATTTAACAAATCTTCCACTTCAGAGTAAATACTACTTGCCTGTTCTAGCGATAACAGATATTTTCAAGTTGTAAGGCATTGCCATATATCTATTTTGATAGATCAAAAAAGCTGGTTAAGTTACTTCAAATAATATATATAAAAAGATAGTGTTAGTATGCCAGTCATTTCTTATAGATAATAAAAAAATTCTGAGAATTTAAGAATTCTACGCATTCAGAGAATTCAAAGAATTCTGAGAAATTCACATGATTTTAGCAGGGATGCCCTGGTTAAAATTTGCTAAGAATACATGATCACATCTTTTATAATACAGATAATAAGTTTTTAACCATTTTATTTTGCAATTGCTTGCTTATCTTCCAATTTTGCAATTCTGGCCTTAAGTTCAGCATTTCTGACTTCGATCTCAGCAAACTTTTTTCTAAGTTCAGCATTTTTGACCTCAAGCTTGGTAATGCATATTTTCAATAAATCAGTCTCATCTATATTTTAGATTACATGTTAGCGTAATGTAGTATTAGTATATTAATATTCAAAAAAACAAATTACGTGTTTTCTGAGACCGCGCGGTCTTACAAATTTGCCAAGAAAAAATAAATAATACTGAACAATGGGATCATAATATTGTTATAATAAATTTTTATTAATAATATATACACTTTATCTATTTTAACTTAATCAAATATTACTGTTGAACTATTTTCTAAGTTTCTATTTGATCTACGTAAAGGAGTATTATACAGTAAAGACATGTTAATAATTAAAATATTCTGCAAAACCAATAATGTCTTAATAAATTCAGCTAGAACAGAAGGTTCATGCGAATAATAAATTGGAATTATAGATTTGCATAATTTGTAATAATAATATATTTCAACCTTGTCTCTTATCAGAATATTTAGATATAGCTTTTGTTCTGCTACCTGCATCTCTATAATTCTAAATTGACTTTTCTCAGGTTTGCAACTTTTTTGGACTCAGTACATTTCATTATTGATTTTGCATCATAATTTCACATTATCATCGTCTTTTTTCTGCTTATTACAAAAATTTTGTGAGCATTCTACATATATAAATTCGTAAAGTTTATCTCTCTCTTTTGATACAAGCATTATATATGGCCATCTTCCTGTACATCCATCACTCCTTCTATCTGAACTTGCTATACTTTAGCATTCAAAACTAAAAAAAGGAATTATATTCATTATAATTTAAGATTCGTAACTAGCTATAGTCAGATATTACAAAAACTTACATAGTAATGAATGCATGTTCTCTAAAAGAGTTATCAAATAATGTAGTATGGATTGCAGAAATAATTACATTATTAACATAGGTACCCTCATTCATCATTTCAACAAATTCAGGACCAAAAGCTGGATTGCACTAAATACTTTTCAATGTATCAAGAATTTATAATATAACTTCATTAAGCTTATTATCGCCTTCCTTCCAATTCCTATCATACGTTAATCTTTCTTGCAACCTTGGTATACTTTGTGACATAAATTTATTACGAATTTTACACATTCTTCTATTATGCCTTAAGGTATTGTTGGGGGTACTATTTCTTCAACTGGTTTCTGGAATGAATATAATTTAATTTTTAGATGGTAGAAACAATATATATTATTTTTCACTGTCAAAAAAAAGAGAGTATTAGCAAAGATACATACTATAAATTTTTTCTTTTATTTTTTTTAATAATTAAGCTACTAGTAATGAATCACTACTGATGATCTGACTAGCTAAAGGGATCTTTCAGATTAATTCAGAGATTGTTAATCCATTTAAAATAACTACTAACTCCTGGTAGAGTTTTGATATTCTAGTCTAAATAATACAAATACCTTATATTAATCTGACTTGTCAGCATGATAAAAAAAAAGATAGTGTTACCTATAGCAAGTTTTCCTTTCAACTTATTTATATTGTATTTAATCTGCCCTAAGGTAAGAGGTTTCTCTTTATTCTACAAGTCAAAAGATTGTTATTAAATATATTTATATCATCTACCCTTTCTTAAAACATACCGTTTTTATAACTCCAACATCCTGCAAATTACTAATATAATCAAAAGCAATATTGAACTAATGTAGATATACAAATAAGTTAGATAACCGCTGATGCATCAAATGAAAATATTAATAACCACGTAGTCATTAAAAATAACACAAAAAAATCACCCAGTATAGCCTAGCTACACAAATAAAATTTTGTGTAGCACAATATTAACCACATTAAAATAAGCATGGACTTCAACATAAATAACCCTTCACATCATCGAAGAAAATCCTGTTGGTAGGCTAATAGGATTTTTATACCAACATACTTATCTCTTCAGAAGTACTACTATTTGCGTACTTATCATTTGATATAATATGATCATAATATTTCACATATAAAATAGTGTACTTGTACTATAATTTGAATAAGTTTTCCAGAACGTTCAAAATTTATACCATATGAGTTTTTTATCAAATGAACTGCTTTTTCTACAACACTTCTTAGTTCGTCTTTACTAATCCAAGGATTTTCTTTTAACCCTTGGTAAATAATGGAGCCTGCCATTAAATATTCAGTCTTTACGCTGGTCAAATATTTTACAATTTTTATATATAAATATTCTGAAGATATAATGATGAAAGTAGTCAAAATATAATGTTAAAAGCTTACTAAACAAAATAAAAAAAATAATGTAAAAGCGTAATAATTTCACTATATTACCCTTTTAAATGACTCTATTTACATTCTCTTTAGGCTTGTATTCATGTTAGAAAAAGAGACAGGAGAATATGCAACAGACTCTTACACTGAAAGTTTGTGTTCAAGAATAAGGATATGTGAAATGTGCATTAAAAATCTCAACAGTATATACTTTAATGAGGATCGAAAATATGTTAATTTATATTATATATACTTATATGCATTAGCCTTAAGGAGCTGGAGGTATATATAATCATACTTTTTTTTTCTTTATTTCAATTGCCCGACCGCTTAGTAATAAAGACTTACTAATATTATATAAATATACTCCAGTTGAAATCTAGTAGGAATAGCCTATAGCAATGCAACACTTTGGAAGAAATAAATTCATAAATAAATGCTATTCCGAAAGATAGGGAAAAAATTCAATTATTTTGGGGATTGATTTCTTATGTATAAAAATCAATTTATCATACAAGCAGTCCACACAGAGTTACAAATGATTTGCAGTGTATTACCTATTACATCATATATACTTTAACAAGAATCAGAAATACATGTTATTTATATCGCATACAGTTCTCTTACATACATTGGCCTTGAGGTGCTTCGCATAGTTAAACAGTATATTATTTTATTAAAACAATATTCAGAATCTGGTTAAGGTCTGATCTGGAAAATTCAGCGCACAAACTCATAATTATTATCTAAGTCTGTAAAATTCACAGTAATATCTTTTTTCTCGTAAATATGATATATGTATTTTAACAGTGAATAGTATATAGGTTTTTCCATTTCTGATGATTTACTCTTATATATCTCGTATTCTGAAATTCTAGTGAAGAATGCATAATTATATTTTTTTTTTATGAATACTACTATAATATTCAGGATTCCATAACCATTTTAACATGTCAAACCAATATACATCTCTAACGACTATATATCCTTGCTGATATAATAATTTCTTAACAAGTATATATAATACTATATTTAATCATATCTATAATTGGACTATCTTCTCATACATCCAATTATTTTTTACTGGATAACAACGTCTCTCATCCCAATGACAAATATATTCTGATTGTTCTGATTCATTTTTCACATCTAAAAACTTCTTATTATCAGGAGTACTATCATTTCGCATCACCTCTCAAACTTGTTTTGCCAAAGATTTAGATCTTTTCTTGTAATTCCTATAAGCTTGCTAGATAAGTATTGCATAGAAATTTTCAAAGCCATAATTATAGTAATATTTAGAAATCAAAAATCCTCAAGATCGCTTCATTGATCTTTCTGAATAATACTTTGTTATATATTAGAAAATCTAACCCAGAATAGACAAATCAGGTTTTTTATCCTGCAGGTAATACATTTCATAATTATACTAGGCTAAGCAATTATGCATGCAGATTATATAGCGTAAAAAAATGGAATATAGTTGAGATATTATTTAGTCAAAAGTAATAATCTACATTGCTTAAAATTAGTTAGTCAAAATAGTTAAACAATCATAATTTCTACTCAATCTTTCAATCTTATTGAGATACCTTTTGGCTGATTAAGATGTTTTGTGAATGATAATAAATTATTTAGTTTTGCATATAGAGATGAGATAAATAGTATGTTTGAAGTTGGCAAGTGTAGCTCAAAAGCTTATTATTTAACCCTTACACGTCCAAGATCACTTAAAAGATCAGAACATTTTTAGTCCCAATGTCTCTGCATCATATCTTTAGCTTCAATCAATTTAACGAATCTATACCATCCATGGTGTATATCTTAGTTGGCTTTATTTTATTAACTCAAAATGGTTTCCAGCAATGAAAGCAGATTGCCATATTGTTTTTATAGATTTTAGGATGAAAATAAGAATGATATAATTCGTCAAATTTGCCTTCACCAAATCCTGCAAATAAGCAGAAACTATGGTATATGCTATTTTTATTTCATGATAATAAATATTGGAGAGTATTTTTAATTCGTAATTCCCACTGCATTGGAGACTCTTTCTTTTTCATTATTGATAATTTGTCATAGATTTTTTCATTAGCAAGGAATTTTTTGAAATCGATGCTACTCTAGTAATTTCTGAAATATGTTCTAAAATATTCTATATTATATCTAGGATGATTACTGACAGGCTTAGGTAACTGCCATTGTTTTTTATCAATAATCATATTAATGTTAATAGCACTTGCCAAGGTAATAACCATTATATTTAGCAAATTATATTAATTTTATTGATTTATAATGCTTTTAGCAAATTCTTGAGTAACATAAAATATAGAATATCATCATTCGAATTTATACAGATTTGCTGATTAGTGGTTAATTGATTTGTAGCTGATTTGAGAGACTACATACTGCTAAATTCAAATTCATTTTATTCAATTATAAGCATATTGGGGATTATATAGATCCTCTCTCAGGCTAAACTAATTTTATATTTACACTTGACTTAGTCAAAGAGCTGTATATGGATCTCTCGTGATTAACAGAAATTAGCTAGATATAACATAAAAATTCTGTATCATTCTGGCTTCCAGTCAGATTCTGGCATTTTCTCACAACTTTCTTATAACTTTCTTGCAACTCAAATTATGAGATGTATTATGGATCGGCATTACCAATCATATTTTATGTAGTAACTAAACCACCATTATTTTTCAATTAATCATTATATTAATTATTACAAAAATTAAAGCGCTGACTGTACGCAAAGTTAATTTAGTCTTACTTAGTTTCAATTATGTTCTATATAAGCAAGTCTTTTTTTGCTCTTCATTTCTCATAAACTTAAAAATGTTCGTATAGTGGAACAAGAAACAAACCCGCATGTTAATTGATGAATATAAAAATGGTAATAAAGAATATCACTGAACCTTTAATCGTAATAAGAAAAACTTCTGAGAGAGTATTGTGAAAAATATTAATCAAGCAAATAATACAAAATACTTCACTGGAGAAGATTGTAACAAGAAATTCTTAGTTCTAACTCAAACATACTATATAAGTAGATAATTGAGCGCTTTGTATATATTTAATCAAACTCTGATCTAATATTTTTGGTAAATATAGACAACCCAGGCCTATAAGAAAGCCGTAGCAGAAGCTAATACTAAAACTAATGAGGGGGTAAGACAAAAGTCAAAAAGAAGAAATCTTGTTAGAGAATATTATTACAAGGAGTTCTCCACAGAATTTTGGAAATTTCCTGGTATTTATTTCTCATTCAGTCAAGACCTTCAGGAGATAGCCTATCCTGTTAGTTTTTTTTTTTCAAACTAAAGTGAGAAAAAATATTTATTGTTTCTAAGATCACAATATTCTACAATGTCATCTAATATAATCATCCAATCAATACTCTCAACACCTGATCCTTTTGAAACAGAGTTTGATACTTCTTCTGCTAAACAAACTAAATCATCAAGACTAGTAACGCCTTTTATTGAGACTCCTGTTGTCTTTAGACCTATTACTCCTACAATCCCCTCATTCTCTCAAAATGCAAATGTAATTAATGTAACAATTAATTATGGAAGCAAAGAAAACAGTTTAGAAAAACAAAAGGAAATAAAATATATTTTATTAATATATATGTATAGCGCTTAGCAACTGTAGAATAGTATTTTAATATTCTAACTGTTTGTTTTTACAATTATAGTTATATTAATAAACAAATGTAATTAATAAATAAATATCACTTGTAAAATGCGAAACACGTTCAAAAAACTCAAAGTAAAATCTTTATTTATCATTATGTAATATGACTGATCCATTAGTAAAAAATTGAATAAAAAGATAATAGATCAAAAGACTAGAGGAATATAATGATTGGAATAAATAATGCTATCAAAGAGGGAGGAAGTTCTCAAATCCTAAGCTGTAAATGAAAGTCTCAGCATCAAGTTATTTCGTAATATTATCTCTACCGATACTTTCTTTAATGCTACTACTACTGCTACTGTTGTTACTACTGCTACTATCAGAAAAACTAACTGATTTCTTATTTCCCTCCTTTTCAACCCATTCGATAATTTTATTTATAGAAGTTTTTCTTGGTGATTTTTGATGACAATAAAAACTAGCTAATGTGCTAGCACTAAGTCTAATTTCAATCGATAAAATATTATACAATTGTGTTGATGAATGAGCTTTACTTTTCCTCCTGTTATTAAAAAGGGCTGTAAACTTGACCCAGTATGTTTCATATTCATCTGTATATCCAGAATACTGTTTTATAAAAACGTGACTTATAGAAGAAAATTGGTTTAATTTGGCTAAAAAATAAGATGCAGTTTAGCGTAAATAAGTATATATGCATGATGTGATATTTTTTCTTCTGTAGCATATGACTTACCTTGAGATACCGCATTATTTTTTCATTCAGCTTCTGTACACATTCTTTGAAGTTCATTATTTAATATTAAGACTGTTTTTTTGAGATTATTATCTCCTGATCACATTAGATTTTTGCAAAAAAAGAAGATAGCAATGGCAAAGATTATATAAATGTTTACATTTCCTGAAAAAATGTCTTGAATCATATCTATTGTAAGGACATCACAGGTTACCATCTCGTAAATTATAATTGTGTTACTAAAGAGTGCAATCAAGAAAATATCTGAGTTTGAGAATATTTTTTAGATAGCGTTTTATTAGTTTTATGTGAAATTGTTATTTTTTTTACTTTTTGGAAGAAAAGAAATACTAAAGCGGTTCTCTAGAAATAATCCTTTCATATGTTTTACAATCATCTGGTAAAATAAATGTCTATATACACTAGCGTAGAGAACCTGTGTCAAAATACAAGCTTGGAATAATTGTGAAAATGATATCATATTTATACCTCTATTTCTGAAAAAAGAAAGTTAAGATCCAGAGTGACATCTGTACTTAAAGACAAAAAAATTTAGCGCATTCTCATATCCCTATATCCTCATAACATATATATTTAAGCAATGAAAATAACAATATTTTTTTCGTAAATTCTTAGCCGTGAACCCTTACGCAAGGGAAAAGTTTTTTATTAATAAAAATTTATTAAAATATTTATTAGGATCCTCTGAATCATGTATGACAGTATGTGAATAACTTATATTATAAAGTACTATTCTCTTATTTCATTTTTGTCTAAAGAATAGCCAAAAGAAGAACTAAATATCTGTATATGAGACGCTGGTCACAAGAGAAATTTGATAATTTTTTTTCTTACTTCGAATATATAAAAAGGCGGAAGTTCTATTTATTTGTGGCATAGTTTGGTTTAAAGTCAATATACAATGATAACTCCACTATAATGTGGATCAAAAGTGAAAGAAAAAAATAGGCAGGGTATTTATAAAAAATATCATATAGATCTGCATAATTATTTTTGCGAAAAAATTAGCCATTCTAGGAATAAAACAATCAGAAGTAATAGTATAAATTGATTTGCAAAGATATAACATATTTGCACAGAGAAAAAATTGTGCTAAAAGAAAATCTAATGAAATAACGATTACATGCTAAACTGATATGTTATAAATTTATACTAATAGAGTAATGGTATATCTATCGTTTATTATCCTCTTTTTCTCATAAATTCGAAAAAAAATATCCTATTCCGGCCAGTTAGAAAATCTCCTGAAAGTTTTGATTGAAGGAGGGATCACTCTATTTCCATTTTTGATTTTCTTTTTAATGATGCCCTATCTTATGATCTGCAAAATACCCTTTTTTACTCACTAGGTTCTAAAAAGAAAAGGGTTAGCCTATATCTTTTGAAACTTTTGAAACTTTTGAGTAAAAAATACATAACGTACTTTCAGCCAGATCAGGCTCCAAAGGGACCTGGTAATAATTCACATACGTATTACTGCGCAGAATATGTCAGAATAAAATCTCAGTAAGAATTCCCTGACAAATAGCTCATCAACCAATAACCCAATTTTGATGAGGATTGAATATCGGGATTCAGCAGGTTCTGGACATTTACCAAATCAAATTTCGTGAAATTCTGATCACTAGATGCGTGGTTATTCAGAAAATCGTAAGGTCAATTATTTCCTTCTTTGCAGATACTGCAGGAGATATCTAACAATTTTTTGGAATTGTGATTAGAAATATTAGTAATTTTATCCCTCATTTGTACCTTTGGTATTACAGAAGATAGTCAATTCTTATTAATATACCTTAATAACATATTCAGATAGCTTTTCTTTTTTCAAATTTTAGTGAGAAAAATTGGGAATCTTATAAAGATAATATTGCCAAAGTGGCGTGTGAAATGCTGGTGACCTGGCAATCTACAAAATACTAGTTTCTGATTCTAGGAACCTAAAGGAGGTGAAAAATTAGTAGATTGTTATACAAGAATTCATAGCTACCTAGTGAATCCTAAAATGTATTATTAGTACTATATAAGAATTGAAATTTCAACTACCTACAAAACGTGATCCACATAATGTAAAAATTCCAAATCAATTCGACCAGATGCAAGATACTGAGAGCTTCAAAATAAGCCAAGTTATGAAGTATTTGGATCACAGGAAGTCAGAATAGCTTTGACAGTTGAGAAAATTTACTGTATTACATTATGGGTTAGAAATTAATTAACAAATCATAGAATGATTTTGCATAATACGACTGTAGAACTATTACTTTCAGATGCTATAATCATCACAAAACATAGAACAAATATGGCAACAGCTGATGATCACTACTCCAGATTAGTTAGATCAGTAGAGTTCCACCATCCTGCTTGATCGTTGAGTAATCTATCAACTGTTATAGATATGTTGGAATTAGGTTGTCAGAATCCCTGGTGAAACTGAGTTTTAATATTAGTAACTAAAGATTGTGTTAATATTAGCTCTACCACTCGCTCTATCTCAGCTTGAATATTATTCAGATCTCAGTAATTCTTGATATGGATATTTGGATTAAGTGAAATGAGCTGATCTACAGCTTCTTTACTAATATAATATCCTCTCAAATTAATATATTTTAAATTAAGATATGATCTGGCAACTTCTTTGATAGTCATATCAGTAATTTTACAAAAAGAAATGTCAAGATGTCAAAGCTTTGGAGAGGAATGAATAATATCACAAATTGAATGTTCAGTAATCTCTGTGCGGTAAGCGATATTTAAATATTCTAATTTATGGCATGTCTTTGCAATCCTCCATAGACCTTCATCATCTACTACTTAAACACAAAAACTCATAAAGCCACCTGACTGATCATCACACAGTTTGAGATACTTCAGATTCAGGTATGAACCCACTATCAGTTCTAATACTTATTACTAAATCCTATGCTATTTATGAAATTCAAATGGATTATATTTGGGCATGAATGTACAATACTTATGATTTTTTTATCTGAAAGTAAATGAAAGTATGATATTTTGAGATGAGTTACATTTGAGCAATAAACTGGTGTTTGCTTCTTACATATTAGCTTTATGAATTTTTTAATTAAGAGAGATTCTTTGCATGTTCTATCCTTATGTATTTATTTAATCGAGGTGATCCTTTGCACAGTAATTATAATCATTTGAAAGAGATTATCCAGGATATAAGTCTTTTCCCTTTAGCTTAATGTGTCTCTATAGAATAGAAGCATCACATCTGTATCATAATCAGGAAACAAATAGAGTGGGGTAGAGAGATTTATCTATCACTAAAAAATGTAAAGTCTGTTCTAATAGTTCTGATAAATAAAAGATACTTGATTGCATCATAAATATTCTGTTTATATGTTGTATCTTTAAACGAAAAAATAGCAAAATACCTTTAAGAAAATCATGCGATCATTGCTCTAGGATAAGTCTTTCCAATATCTTATCTAATGCAAGTGCTTGTAAACCATCCATTAGGGCTTTAAATGCATTCTCAGGTAATAATCCTTTTAATAATGCGTATTTAAAAAAATTTTCATTATAGCCTAAACTCTTGTTGCACTCTTCCAGCTTCAAATAAAAATCCTTGACTGTATTTTCGTCTTGAACCAATGACATAATACAAAAATCGAAAGAATCTTTCTTTTGGACCATTCAAGATCTATCTCCTTTGTCCATATATTATATTTATATTGTGAAAATTTTTTAGATTCTGATTTGAAAAATCCTTTAGAATAAATGGTATTAATTCTAGCAGAAGTTGTTCTAGCAAATTAACTATATGCATATTTATATGGTTAGAAGATTTTTTCAATCGAAAAATAAGGTGATTGTTGCACAATCTGTGATTCAGCAAATTCTTCTGAGCTGATGATTACTATTCCAGACCTTCTTCTTAGCTGTACTCTTCTTTGTTGCTTATGAGGAATAGCTTTTCTCTCTCTTATCATCTAAACCGAATCAGATTCTTCAGAAGACTCAGACAAATAGAAGAAATCCTTACCTTTTTTACCAATCAGCAAGGGAATTATTTCTTATATTAAGTCGACTACAGTTTCCTTATCCATACATTCATCTAGATCTTTTAATTCAATTTTTAAGGATCTCACATTTTTTTCTAATCTTTTTACCCTCCTTTCTAAAGTATTAGGTTGGGAATGATAATCTTTTAATTGTTTCTTTAACGTTCTATTTTCACTGAAAAGGGCTCATCTAGTCCGAATATTTGGACTAATTTTTCTGTGTATCTGATAACTTCTTGCTTGCTAGCTATACTATCAGATAAATACTTTTGATCAGTTACTATTTTGCGATATTTTATATATGCTATATTTTAGGCGAACGAAAAAATAAATTAAAAAATGATATCTTGATCCTCTAACCAATATATGTGATTAGTTTTTATCAAACAGTTCAAATGCCGTTACCTGATTATAAAGCTGTCCTCTTTTTCAAAAATTGATTATTGTATAGTTTTACGCTGAGTAGGAATGGTTGTCTGACAAATGTCGAAGGGCTTGACTGGTGATGGTTATAGCTTCTGATAAATTCTTCGCACTATTTAATATGATCGCAAATATTGCCTCTAATTTACGCAAATAGCTAGAGAGGAGTGGTTTACCAGTTTCAGAAAGAAATCTTTCTTTTTTCAAAAATATATTAAACCATTTAACTCCTGTCACTTCTGGATCCCTCCACTGTCCAGAAGAAATTACATTTTGAATCCAAGTAAAAAGAAGTTTAGCCTGCTTTTCATCCCTTTTTAACAATCTAAATACTTGAGGATTATTCTGCTGATCTTAGTTTTTTGTGTATCCAGTTAAATCTCCATTAGATATATGCAAGTCTTTAATTTCAGCAGGACAGATGCAAAGCATGATACTTACATCAGTTAGGGCTTGCACAGTGGATGTCTTACAAATTGAGTCTCTTCTTAACTGATTCTAATGAGAAGTGATCTGGAAAATTAATCTCTTTATTTTCACGTTAATCTCTACGCTCCTTTTGAATCTTATTAAATGCGTAAGTTATTTTTTCATCTAATGTAGCAGAGATTATTTTTCTAAGACATTAAGTTTTCACAATTCTCTTCAAAGTTTACTAAGATGAAATGTGGTAGTGACAGGGTTAAAGGATGTTATAGTTAAAGCTTTGGCTATTGCCTTTACTTCTTTTTCACCAAGATTATCTCGAACAATACGCTAGGCTATACTTTTGATAGTTTCTCTATTTGAGATGATGTCAGATACTTAGTATATATTAACTTCTCCTGCTTCATTCCCTTCTTCTTTGGGAATTACCTGACTTCTACTTCAGCAAATTCTCTGATTAGAAATTAGTACAAATGCCTGCTTTCTGCTAAAGTTATACCCTTTTTGAAAGCGCTGACGACCCTTGTCTCTTTTCATTTTATCTGTCAAAAGCTCAAGTAATTCTGGAAACGTGCTAACTAAGTTTTTCATTACTCATATCTTTACTAAGTTTGTGCTCTGCAATGTACTTTGTTACAATTGCGGACATGGTTGTGTAGATATAGCTTATGAAGTAACTACTAGATTATATGCAACTCTTAGGTTATTCTATATCTGTAAAAGTTCAATTTAAAAAATTTATTCTGTCATTTATCTACCTCATGGTCAGTAAAAACTATCAGAGAGCTAGAGAAGGGAAAAAATATATAATTCTTGCTCTAGCCACATTAATTTGAAATTTACGGGTAGATAGGATATGCAAAAAAAAATACATAATAATAATTTGAAATTTTATATTGCCCAGTTATAAAGAACGAAAGTCATATCTTTACTAATATTAATCAACCTACTCTTATTTGTTCTTTACCAAAGCATATCATTCTTCTGAAGTATGATATTTTTTTGCCATTTCTCATTAGTATCAAACCATGAGATTGCGATTTCATTATTCTTGAGAGAATGACAGTTTATTTCTTTTCCTATTAATCTTTCTCATACTGTCATGTCTATATATTCTTTGGGGTCTTCTTTCATCTTTTTTGCATATTCACACATTTGTGAATCAGTTTCTATTCTATCTCGAAATGCAATAGAATCGAGCCTGTCTTTTTCGGTGATAGTCATGAAGATATCTGGATTCTTACCGAGTTTGACTGCCCTTTTTTAAGACGATCTTTACATTGTTATCTAGCCAGGAGTATAGCAGATAATACTTGATTGATAGGCTTAGAAGAATCAGTTGAGCGATCCCTTTGGGACCATTGTTTCTTTAGGAAACATATTTACTACTTCACAAATAGGCTCATTGATTCAGGATACTTACTAGTCTCATATTCGTTGATTACTGGCTCAGGTGGTTTAGAAACCTTAGTAGTTTTAGATTTCTTGACTAGAGTTTCAGTTATTTTTTGAAAAATAATTTTTGGCACATTGAATATAGGTATGTCTATAGTTTCATTTTCAGATAAGTTAGTCTGAGATATATCAGAAAATTCTTCCATATCACTTAGGTCAGATTCACGGAGTTTGACTACAATTTTAGGATGATCGAGAATATACTGATATACTCTTACTCCATTATCTCGTGAACGTGTTCTATCAATACTAATTAGTAAAAATTTCTTTCTAGTAACCTTACTAGTTAATAGCTTTTTCCCATTATATTTACACTATTCTAGATAATCTTGGTATACTTTTTTACAGCTAAACCTACTAATATGATTCTCAAACCAAGATGAAATATAATCAATTATAAATTGAATAGGATTA